CATGGCTCCAAGACAGGGTGGTGCAGGGGCTCCCCTCACAAGCCTGTGTTGGGGTGCCCCATCCCCACCCCCAAGAGGCAAATCTGCAGGGCACCAGGTGACAGTGGACTGAACCCACCCTGTAGGGCCCAACTCTAGGACCAGGGTGTGACTATCCTCAGGACACAGAAGAGGAAACGAGGTGCAGAGGTTCTAAGCTGCCATGCTTACACAGCAGGTGGCGAGGCCAGGATTCACCCAGGTCCCTCTGACCTGGAGCCAAGCAGGAGTCACTACCCCCAAGTACAGCCAGCGCTGAGTGCTCCAGCCAGGAGGACGGGGATCAGCATGTCAGGAGACAGCTACGTGGTGCAGTTTACAATCCCAAGGCTGGTCACGGCTTCCCACTTGGCAGAGGAGAAAAGAGAGGCCCACAGAGGTTCAGGAACTAGCCCAGAGTCCCAGGCTTCCAATTCCCTGTGCTGATGACGTCGACAAGCATGGTGAAGAAAGTCCACATGGGGAGAAAACACAGATTATGAGCAAGAGAGGAGTTCCTTGCTAATCGTGCTGCTCCAGGGATGACAGTAAACCAAGTTTGTGTCCTAGAAGCTCAAAGGCCAGGCCACCAGTGATGGGGCTGCTGGGGCCACCACAGCAGAGGGAAGCCAGCCTGGCACAGAGAAGGAAGGGAATGAAACCACAGAGGAAATGAGGGAGGACCCCAGCGCACGGAAGCCTGCACGGCACCTGCCGTCCCCATTCGCCAGACCGCTGGGTCTCCGTGAGCCATGTAGCTTCATGCAAGGAAACAGGAGGGCAGCACAGAAGCTCAGGGTCTGGCTTCCTGAGAAGAGGTGCCACACCTTTGCCACACAGGTTCCACCCCCGGTGGCCTCCCCACCCTCCCTGCGTCCACCTACAGGTCACCGGGGCCCCGCCCAGGACCAAGCTTGGGGAGGCCTTTCACAGCTGGTGGGGCCTCCCGTGGGAGTCCCTCTCAGTCCAACATGGCCAGTGTCCTGGCCCACAGGGGCAGCAGGCCCAGACTCTGACAGAGGAGATGCAAAACTGATCCCAGACCCCCCCCCAACGAGCACCATGGGTGCAAGTCAGCGCACCTCTCCAAGCCTCAGTTTCCCCATCTACAATATGAGACCATTTGGGAGCTCTGAACAGAATGGAGTTGGGGCTGGGAAGCTCTTTGTGCTAAACTGTGAAGTCCTGGGCACACCCTGGCCCTCCCCTGGGTCACCTGCCTGAGAGCTCCTCAGGGCCAGCCCTCCTTTTGTGCATGGCCCTGGGGGCCCAGCACCCCAAGGCCGCTGATGGATGGTCCCGGGTCAGGTTAGGCAGGGAGTGGGGAAAAGGCTTATCTAACCCGCCCCATTGTCTTCACGACCTTTGCTCCCAGCCTGGTTGGGTTTAGGAAAAGCCGCCTTAGCCGGTCCTGGCCAGGAGGCGCTGAGCTGAGAGGCCCCTCATAAAAGACCTATTCAGGGAACGCTCCGTCTTTTTTTAAAGGCCCAGACCACCCTCGCTCCATCCTCCCTGTAAACCAACAAAAATACAAGCAAGAGAACAAACCCATCTTATTTTGAGAAGCTCAAATTTTTAATCCAAACTTCTGAAAGTAAACAAAACCCCTCCACAGGCTTGCTGGAGGCCCGGCTTTCCCTAGGTCAGCTGAAGGGGAGTGGACGGAGGTGCTGGTAGAAGGGGACATGGAGGCAGGAGAAAGAAGGTGGGGCACACAGGATGGGGGAGGGGCAGGGGAGAAATCGTTGAAAATGCTTCTATTTGAAAATTGCATCAGTTCAAGCGGGCAAATGTGACTTTCTGGTGTTTGGGGCTCACCTGCCTCAATTTGCCTTGCTGGATTAGAGCAAAGAGCACCCTAGGCCAGACTTCAGTCAGCCCAGTGCAGACCTCCGGCCATTTCTATTTGCATATGCATTCACAGGCTGCCAGGTCCGGCCCCAGCCAGAGACTGCCTTGAATACAGATGGGCCACCTCCCACCACAGCCCTCTGGGGCCTTCCAGGAGGACACCCAGGAGGGCTGCAGGTACTCCACAGCTCCCAAAAGAGGACTACAGGACCACCATTCCCCGGTTCCTTGGCAGGTGCAGCCAGACAAGGGCTCGGTCACAAACATTCAGGCGAGCTGTCTGTCTAAACAGCAGAGCTGTGCAGAGAACACGGAAGTCTGTTTGGCAAGCCCCCAATGGGGTCCCTATCATTTTTCACAAGCAGCCTTGGAAGAAATATGCATGACAAGGATTCTGACAAGTGTTAAGACCCAGTGCGTGCAGCTCCTGGCCTCCCTCGACCTCATGTGGATAAAGGGGGCTCTATGGCTTTGCCACACTTCACAGATGAAGAGCGGAGAGAGGCTCAGAGAAGTTAAGTAACTTGCCAAGGCAAGAGGGGTGGAGATTTGAATGCGAGAGAGCCTGACCCCACCGAGAGAGCCTGACCCCACCGGGTAATGGGGTTATCAACCATCTGCTCAGTAGTCACCGATAAGCAAGTGACACTTCCCAGGACGGGAGAACGAGGGCAAACCTGGGTCAGGAATCAAGAACAGGGAGTCACCAGTGTCTGCTGATTAATAGTATCAGCCAAAATGACAACAGACCAGAGATGCAAGTCAGCCCATGGCAGGAGCAGTAGGGGACCCAGGCAGACCCACCCAGGCCACTGGAACTGAGACACTTCCAATCTCAACTGCCTTCCCAGGCAGCACTCAGAACCTCTCTCAGCCTCCACCTGCCTGTCTGTAAAATGAGCATAATACTACCTCGCCAGGTTCCCATGAGGATGAGCTGAGGATGAGCAAATCCATAAGGCTCCAGCCCACTATCTGACTCCACCATCTCCAGCATCCGACAGACACTCACTAGCTTTCTCATCTCCAGCTCACTGGTCACGCCACTTAAAACTACAGGTGTGAGTACAGAAAAGTAGTTTCTAGGAGAAGGGCCTCTCCTTGTTTCTAGGCATCCTGTTCATATTGTTGGAAGAACATCTCAAGGCCACGCATGTCTTTAAGAGACAAAACTAAATAATAACAACCCCGTCCATAACTGAAATTTGTGACGATGCTGCTGAATCCTTAGTTCACCCCAAAGAAAGCTTTGCCGCCACAAAATCTGCAGCAGTCCTGTTCCAAGTGTGCATGGGACTTGGAGGGGCGTGGATTCTGCAGGAAATCCTACACCTCGACCCCCACCCACCCGATTGGGGTGGAAACCCTCAGGTGGAGGCCAGTCCCCCACTCCTGCGTCACTTGCTGCTGAAATGAAACACTGGGCCAGACAGGGGCCACATCTCCCGGTCCAATACATGACAGAACTTCCTGCAGATACGCTATGACACTCAAGCTCTTCAGTGCCCTGCAGAGAATCATTCTGGCCAAGTGTCACTATGACGCAGCTGAAAACCAGACAGCTTTCCTTTCCCAGGCCCGGGACTGCAGCAAGCCCCTCCTTCGTATCGTACTTGGGGAAGTGGGGGCCCAGAAACCTGACCCTCCCAAAGCTCCCAAGAAGGAGAGGCCAGAGAGGCTGAGACTGGGACTCCTCACTCCCAAGACCCTGAAACCCCAATAAACTAAGCCACTAACTTTGAGCTACTCCCACTGGCCTCAAGGAGCCTGTGGTGGGAGGTGGGGTGGATACAGAGTTACAAAGAGAAACCCGAGTTGCGCTCCTAGATTGCTAATCAGTAACAAAATATCCCTCTGAAGCCAGTCCTGCCCTGAACTCGCAAGCTGGGAGGGTATTAGGAAAAGTGTGCGGGGCTAGCACCCCACCTCCACCCGCCCAGTGCCCACCCCAGCCCCCACTCCAATGCACCTGCACCGGCCACTTGGCCACCAAACCAAAGAGCCCGCGTCCCTCCCCTGCTCAGGCTGTCACTCTGGGGAGGAACAGTCATTTACGACCTAGATACATTTTCTCAGAACCAGGAAAGCCTTTAAAAGAACCAGAAAGGGCTGTTTAATCTCCACCTTCAGGCAAATAGTTCCGGCAGCAGCAATTGCCACCAGAACTGGGAGCCAAGCCACCAAAAATGTGGAAGAACAGGGAGGCAGGAGAGGAGAGAGGCAGCTGGGAGGAGAAGGAACGGGAGCCCACTGCTCTGCTCCAGACTCACGCTGGGGGCCCCCTGCTCCGGGGCCCACGGTCACAGCACGGAAGACAGTAGCTGGGCTTTCCTGAGGCCAAAGGTCCTCCCACGGACCACTGGCACTTCCTGTAAGACAACCAACAGTTTACAAATACCTTCAGAGGCTTTATCTCCACCTCAAATGCCAGAGGCTGGAAGCATCATTTTCCACTCTCCAGAAAAGCAAACTGAGGCACGCAGAGCAGAGAAGCCAGGATCCACCCCAAGCACATACCCCCCAGGAAAGTGTCAGAGCCTCGGTTGAGAAAGGTCCCTCTGCCCTGAGAAGTGCAGAACTAACAGCAAACCAGGAGGGCTCTTAGCCCCGTCCTCTGGCCCAGCTGCCTCCAGGTCTCAACCCGGTTGCCCCTGCTCCCTCCCAACACTGCAGGCAGCCCAGAGGAAACCCAGCTGGCATCCCAGCCATTGCACACACCGGCTCAGATTTGGGGGCCGCCTGTTGCTCCAAATAAGAGGGAAATTCTGGTGCTCAAAGGACTTTTCATTTCTTTCCGAGAACTTCCCGCTCCCAGACAAGGATCTGAAAGGCTGGGATGAGGTGCGCCCAGCCAGCCCTGCAGTGCCAGACACTCACACTGACCACTCCGCAGAGGAGAAACTTTCTAGGGTCTGGCAGACCGGGCGGGCTGAGGATTAGGAGCTGGGCAGGGACACGCCTCCATCACTAGACCAGAAAAACACCACCCAACGCCCCACTGCGGGTGGGCGCGGCATCTCCCTGCCCGGAGTTCCGATGCCAGCCGGAGAACGGGTCTGCAGCGGCGGCCGCCCCTGGGAGAAAGGGCTGTGGCCCCGAGACCCGCGCGCCCTGGCTCGTGCTGTCCTTACCGTGCAGGCCGTTGGGGATGCTTCGGTGGTGCGGTGGCGCCGACAGGTCGTCCAGGGACCTGCGCGTGGCTACAGCCTTGCCGTCGGGGGCCTTGTGCGGCCCGGGGGGCAGCAGCGGGGGCGGGACGTGGTGGTGGTGATCCGGGCTGCCGCCGCTGCCCGCGCTGGACGTGCTGCTGCCGTCGCCCACGTCGCGGGTCCCCGCGCCCGCCGCGCCGCCCGCCAGCGGCCCGCTCAGGCTGGCCTGGCTGTCGATGGAGCTGCGGGAGCCCGCGCCGCCGCCGCCGCCGCCGCCCGCGCCGCCCGCGCCCCCCGCCAGCGCCGCGCGCTCCTCGTCCAGCAGCAGCACCAGCTCCTTGAGCTCCAGGTTCTCGCGCAGCAGGGCCTCCTGGCGCGCCTCGAGCTCGCGCAGCTTCTGCTGCGAGCGGGCCACCTCGTGCCACACGGCGCCGGCCGCGTGGCGCCCGAAGCGCTGCCACTCGCGCGCGAGCTTGCGCCCCTTCTGCCGGTCGTCGTCGAGGAAGCAGCAGAGCTCGCGTAGCTCCTGGTTGTCGTCCTGCAGCCGCTGGTTCACGTCCTTGAGGCCGCGGATCTCCAGCAGGTGCTGCTGCAGCCGCCGGTTCACGTCGCGCATCAGGCCGCCGTGCTCCAGCATGAGGCCCACCTTCTCGCCCTCGGCGCGCCGCAGCCGCCGCGCCAGCTCCTCCTTGCTCCAGCGCAGCAGCTCCTCGTCCGGCACCTGGCTCAGCTCCTCCGACGCCGCCGCCGCCACCGCCGCCGCCGCCGGGGGCTTTGCCATGGCGGGGCCGTCACCGCGGCATCGCCCGCGCCCTCGCCCGGCCGGCGCTCCCCGCGCCGGGGCTGCGCTGGGCCGGTCCGCGCGCGGCCGGGGGGCGGCCGGGGACGCGTGCGGCCCGCCTCGCGCCGCCTCGCGCGCGCTCACCCAGCGCCCGCCCGGGCCGCCCGGGAAGCCGCGCGTCTCGGGGCTCGGCGAGCGGGGACCGCAGCTGCGTCGGCGGCCGCCGTGCCGGGCGCTCTCCGGGCTCGGGCGAAGCAGGCGGAGGCCCGCCCCCCGCCCAGCTCCCGGAGCCCCAGCCGCCCCGCCCACTCCGGGCGGGGAGGGGGCGGAGCGCCGCGGCCGGGGCCCGCCTCCGGGGGAGCGAGGGGTGGGCGGAGGCGCGGCCGGCCCCCGACGTCCCCCCGCTCGGTGCGCCCGCCCGCTGGGCGCCCTGCCAGAGGCGCGTTCGAGCCGCGGTCCCGCCCTCCCGCCCGTCCGATTGGGCCTCTCTGGGGGTGTGTGGGGGGGCGGGGCGCGCGCGGGGGACGCCGCGGAGATGGTACAGTCCACCCCGGGCTCCCAACCCCCTCCCGGCGGTTCAAGTTTCTGCGCCCGGAGGACGCGGCCTCGGCCAATCCCCGGGCTACAGGGCGCTTTTAAAATGCAGGTACGGCTGCGGGGAGGGGGAAGGTGGGAAAGGTGGGGCAGGGCTTCCCTTAAAGGCGACGCGCGGAGCTGGGCGCCGAGCCCGGCCCCGGCCCGTGTTCCCCGCCCGCACTCCCGCTTCCCGGATAAATGAAGACTGTACCCAGGGTCCGGAGGACAGCTCCCCATCTCCCTCCCGGGGGCACCAGAGTCCAGCGTAGTCTGAGACACGACGAACAATAGGACTCTGACACGGGGGTCGCTCTCCCCGGCGGCAGGGCGGCTCTTTGTCCCCTTCCCTGACCCTGCCCCCATCTCCACCCTCGTCCCCTGCCGGAGCGCGGTTCCACTCCAGCCCAGGGCTGTGGCTCCGGCGTCTGCGCACCGGGAGGGCCAGGGCCTCGCCAACCGTGTCCCGAGCACGGTGCGCACCCTCTTCCCAGCCCAGAGCTCGCCCCTCGCCCCGAGCGGTGCTCAGAGCACCGCTCCCCCGCCAACTGGACCGCTCGTCCGGGGAATTCGGGGAACAATCTGTGATTCGCGAGGTGGAGACCACTGGGGAGGGGAGAGGAAGATCTCCCGCTGGGGTCTTAACGCTGGGGTCGGGGGGGGGGGTGGGGTGCGCCGAGCCGGCACAGAACCGCCGCCTCACTGGCAGCCTCCCCGGCGCCCGGGTCTTCCCACAGCCCGTGAGTCTGTCTCGTTATCCGCGCTTCCCTGAAGCGCATTTAAGGCGCGTCTGCTGCGAGTCAGGCGGAGGGGGGCATCCCTCCCCCTGGACCCCCAAGGAGATAAAACCCGCGCGCTCGACGGTGAGCGGCCACGGCCTGGAGCGCCCGCCCGCACCGCGACTAATGTCCCGGTTTACAGTAGCTCAGCCATTCGTTGGACAGCTGTGTACCCGGCTCCTGCTCTAAGCCAGGCCTGTGCTAGACCCACGGGGGCTTCTGCAGGGAACGACAACAAAGGCCACTGCCCTCTGAGGGGACTTTGCTCTCTGGGGGGAGGAGGGGAGAGAAGATAAACAAACTAGGTAACTGTGAGGCTGTGGTAAGTGCTGGGCAGAGGATTAAGACAAGCTGCTGTCACAGAAAGTGATAATCAGTTACTTCAGATCCCCTGGTCAGGGAGGACCTCTTTGGAGGTGCATCTAAGCTGAGATCTGAGCGACAGGAAGGACAAAGATAAAGGGGAAGGGCAGTCCAGCGGAGGGAACAGTGTGTGCAGAGGCCCTAGTGTCCTCTTCAGGGGAGGCCAGTGGGGCTGGGAGTGGGCTGGAGAAGAGGGGTGAGAGATGAGGTCAGAGGGCCAGATCCTACGTGATCCACAGCAGCTGGGAAAGCAGTGGGGGTTAGCGGGAAGCCCCGGGGCTGTGCTTTGCCTTTGAAGAGGCTCACTCTGGCCCATAGGTGGAGAAGGGATGCAGGGTGCAGAGAGGGGCAGAGTTAGACGTCATTCCCCACCCCGCTCCAGGTGGATGTTCAGGAGAGGGTGATGGGGAGAGGATGAGCCGGAGGGGCATAGCTTTGAGAACCAAGCCCCAGGGGCGCTGAGGGTCCCCCAGACACGGCCCAGGGGAGCCAGCTCCTGGGTGGAGGAGAGCATGGTGCCCGCTGGGGCACTGTGCTTGGCAGGCCCAGCCAGCCTGGCCTGAGTTTGGTTTGGAAAGGGAAAGGGGTTCAGCTCACACTCGGGAGGCTGCAGATGTTTCCTACCCCAGGAAGCCGGATTCAACAGCTCCCTGGAGGATCCCCCAGAACAAAGGCTGTGCAGAGAGCTGGTCCTGGGAGGGGGGGGAGCATCAGACACTGGGGCTCACTGGGGAAGTCACTAAGATGGTTAACACTGTGCTTGGGGGACCTCCTCCGCCATGCGTTGTGGCCTCGGGGTCATTCCCATGGCCTGCATCTCCGGCTCTTGATCCTCCAGGGCTGGCAGCTTCAGCTGAACTTTCTAGGAGAAAAATGAAGCCTCCATCCAGACAGGGTTTATTTGCATCATCTACAGGCAGTGGGACCAAGAGTGCCCCGCCAGGACCCACGAGAGCATCCCTGACATCCCCCTGGTGCAGTAGAGACACGGTGCCCAGCCGAGGCTGCGGTGGGGGAAGCAGAGTCTGCCCTCTGCACCCTGGCTGCACAGGACAGCAGGAGGTCGAGAGGACCCACTGCTGAGAGGGACTGTCCAAGCCACAGCCCCCTCCCTAAGGGTCCGCATCCCCGAGGGTCCAGCCGGAAGTGCCAAGTGCCCTAGAACACTCACCATCCAACAGACGCTGTCCCTGAGCCAGGATCTCGGAAATGTCAAGTGTCTTTGCTTTTTTAGCTCCGGGGTCGTGACAAACTCTGCTTTGTCATAACGACACTAAAACCAAATCCTGGATCTCTAACACAGGAATTCTCTAGCTGCCCAGTGAAAGTAGTTGTGGGTCTTTCAAAAAATAAAGATGCACCACCACTCCCCACGATTTTTTCCCTGAGAATCTCACTCTGAAATGTGTGCCCATTCAAAGCCGCACCAATGTTTTTGAGAGCCAGCTGGGGTGAGAGCCAGCACACTCACCCACTGTAGACAAAATATCCTAGAACACACGGTCTGTGAGCCTGGGAAATGAGAAGAGCACACTGGTGGAAGGCAGACCGTCTCCCCACTGGTAAGGGAAAGGCTTTCTCCTTCTCCTCTGTGCCTGGGCCCTGAGCACGGACCCCAGAGCAGGCACCATTTGATCTTTGCTAAGTGAATGCGCCACCCATCGGCAACATGAGTCTAAGTTCCTGGTTTTGAAAATGAGGAAACTGAGCCAAGGGAGGGAAATGACTTTCCCAAGGTCACTTTCGTTTGTTGATTTCCTGAACACACGAACATAATTAGGTAAGTATTTATACATAAATGCATATAAATGTGCAATCATATGCATTGTAAATGCTTTGTGTAAGTATCACAAAAGGACGCACCCTGATGGGAGCAGCTTCCAGGAGAAGGTGATGCCCACGCTGAATCTTGAAGAGCAAGTAGGAATTTATCAGATGGTGGAGAGGAGAGGAGAGGGCCAGGATACTCCAGGTGTAGGGAACAACACAAGCCCAGGGCCAGGGGTGAGCCACGGTGAGGTGCGTGTGTAGACACAGCCATGCCTTATTTCTGGAACATACAGGAAAGGCAGTGAAGGGCGGGGAAAGTCAGGGAATGGAGCTGGGCCAGGGAGGGCTCTGTGGGCCACGAGAGTAAGGGTGGCCCCCTCCCTGGGACGGATGGTTAAGAGCAGCGACAACAGCAATAACAACCTCCTACCCTTACCCAGCCCCCGGTGTGTGCCAGGGATTCTAAACCAGCCCTCAGATGACGACCGTAAGGACCCTATGAGACTGCGTCATCAGCCCTTGTAGGGTTTCACGTGGATTCCTGTTGGTTTGGCTGTCTGTCGCCACCGTCTCAGATCGCCGAGGGTGAACCTACGGACAGTTCAGAGCCTTACGGACGCCCGAGGGCTCTGGGTGGTGGAGGATTGTGTGGTGGCTGAACGTTTCTGCGGGTCAGGGAGGCGATGGCAGCTGACCAGGTCTGGGGCCTGGCTTTGGGGGTTCTGCCTTGATGACCCCCTCCCCGGGGAGGGGAGGTTGCCCTGCATGGCTGAAAGGCTACGATGCAGCACGAAATCAGGGTCCATGCCAAAGTGACTGTAATTATTCTTAATGACAGGCAGTGTTGATTGAGCCCTGCCTGTGCACCCAGCACGCACTAGGCCTTCATGTGCATGGTCTCGTTGAGTCCTCACAGCAGCCCTGTGAGGTGGGAACCCTCTATCCCCATTTTACAAAGGGGGAAACTGAGGCTCACGCAGGTTAAGTCGCTTGTCCGAGATCATACACCTAGCAAGCAAATGAGCTGGGATTCGAACCCAGGACCATCTGAGCCTGAGAGTGCACCTTCCCCCATAGACTATTCCTTCTCAAAGGGGAGGAGTGGACCGGCTGCTCTGTGACGTCTCTGTCACTGTGGCTCTGGCTCTACGATGCTGGGGGCCTGTGCCATGCCAGGACCACGTTCATGATCCTGCTTTCTCCTGCTGGGGGCCTTTCATGTGACACCTGAGCCAGAGAGACTCCCCAAGCCTCTGGACAGCCAGCTGTGGCCATGGCTTCCCAGCTATTCCTACAGACAGGTTGTTAGCTCCATCTCCCAGCTCCTCCGTCACTGACTTGCTGGGTGACCTCAGGCCAGTCCCTTACCCTCTCTGAGCCACAATTTTCTCATCCAACCCTCCCCCATAGGGCCAGTGTCAAGCACCTAGCAGAGCGCTTGCAAAGCTCTGGGGGGGGGGGCACCGCACCCCCCCTCCCTACACAATCTCCCCATCCTCTGGACCAGAACAGTGTTCCCATAAGGATGTTGACACCCATTTTCCAGAGGCAAACACTGACGTACAGTGAAACAAGGGCTGTCCA